CGTGAGGCCTAGTGCATCAGATTTTGCAAGTCTAATAGTGTTAGTGACAAAAAAAGATGGACACACCAGAATTTGTTGTGATTATCGAAAGTTGAACCGGCATATTGTCAAAGATAGCTTTTGTAACACATCATGCTCAGCTCGAATTCCTGAGATGTCTCATCAGATTAAGTACCTTGAAGTACCTAATGCCGTTGTGAAAATCCATAACTTTTTTTTTAGGAACTATACCTTTGATCAGTCAAGATCCTTTTATTATACTTTATTATTTCACACTACCACTGTGACATTCAACTATCTGAACGTGCTCCGACTTCCAGATGTTATGCTTTTCAGATAATACGTCCAGTAGCAGACACAAAAGTGCCAAGTCTCTGCATTGACTAAAAACAGTTTTTGAAACGTATCTAAATGATTATTTTCATTATTGTTGGTGTATGAAGAAGCTTTGTTGCCATAGATTGCTTTCCGCGTGCAACAAATAAGTTTCATAGCCGCCAAAGATATATCTTCTACAAATGTCCTGCAAGCTGCATTGGACCGTAAATCTGAGATTTTTTCTGTCCTAAGCATAAATAATGTCATAAGATGAAGTACTATTTTCATCATTTATATTCTTGCCAATGTGTCAAAAGTACACTACCTAGAATACACTAGAATCTGATCTTGTGACAAGTGAATGCTACTGCCCATTGAATGCGGGGTTTAGGTAATACAGTTAGTGAAATTGTTTTAACTTTACTTAAAAACTTTTTTATTTCATGTTTTGTTCCAAAACAGATCGATTTTTAGTGGCATCACAGTAAATTGAGGGTGACATTCAAAACAAATCAACAGATTTTAAAACAAATTCAGTTACACACATTCAAAAGAAGCAAAAAATTTCCTTTCACTTAAATTTAAATAATCACACAAAATTATTCCAGCCAGTTTATTCTTTTAGTAAAAAAAATCGTTATATTATTTTGTTTTTAATTTTGAACACACCACTGAGATCGCGACGGGCAAAATTCTTAATTAATATTTGTGTCCGGAAATTCTAATTGCATAATAATGGAGCTAATATAGATTATCAGGCTGAAATATTAATATTAGCATGAATGTGATTTAGGGATATGTTTGAAAACAAAAGCATAAGAAAATCGACTAAAGTCCAATCACGTTTCCACACACACACACACACACAAACACACACACCACACACATTTTCCGAACTCGAGATTTCAAGTTGGGCAAACTAGTTGTTAAGTGCTTTGGCTGGCGGCACTGGAAATTTAGTTTTATCAGAAACAGTTTCGATATCTGCTGGCCCGCAATTAATCAAGTTAAAGACGAACAGGGTACTTTTTCTTGTTTTCTGGCAGGCGTCGGGAAGTCTTAATTTAATTACCATGTACTTTACTTGGGGAATTCTCACAAAAGTCAAGTTATTCTCCGAAAGAAGAGATTCGGGAATTTGATTTGTTGACCTTTAGTGGAGACGTCTGGTAAATAATTTAAAGGGCAAAATATGCCAAGACAAAATGGAAGCAGTATTACGTATTACTTTGTATCATTGACCATAGTAAATATAAATGGGAGTAGTAGTCTATCTGAGTTAAGTATAATTTACATGTAATGTAAGTGCAAGTAATTTTCTGCTTGCCTTCTTAACCACTACTATGTAAATCACTTGGAAAATCTGTTAAAACACACTTGAAATATTCTTCAGGAATTATTTAACAATTTACGATCAAACGATTACAACGTAACGACTTTGGTCCACTTGTGTGGACACCTATTCGATTGGTTGAATGTGGGGTATATATTTTAAAATTTTACTTCAAAAAGCTAATTTGGTCTATCTAAGGTTAGTACTCCATAGTGCTTATCAAATATATCGAAATAACTGAAGCGTTCATCTTGTTTTAACAAAAATAAACCTATTTTATAAAGTAGTAACGTTACATACCACTGTGTTGAAATGGGAAATGGCAAACACGTGACGTCACATCTTCCGCTCGCGTCTCTCCCCGCTCGGGATTAACAGGTAACCTGTATACTTCAGGAACCTTGAAACTGGGTTATGTTTATAATAAAATAACGAAATAATTAAGATTGAAAATAAAACGTGCAGTATTGTTGTACAAATACCGCAGAACAATTTTTTCTCGAGCGAGAAGCTTGGTGATGGCTCTGTGGTCATCTGTAGTTTTGGGGTGGATTTGGATGCCCAACGCTACTTTTTTGGGGTTCGTGAAGGTGCAATTGTTTTGCACAAGAAGATTTCTGGCCTTAGTCCATTCCGCAGTATTCCTGATGACGATAGGAATCGCTGACTTGGGGGGTTGGGATGCCGAAGTGGTGGCAGGGCCTGAGGGCTGGGGTGCCGAAGTGGCGGCTAGAGCTGGGGCAGCCTGAGGGGCTTTAGAGGGTTGGGGGCTTGCGCATGCTGGACCATGTGCTCGTGGAGTGCCGGGTTAGAAGTTTTGGGGATATTGAGCCTTGGCTTGGCTTTCAGGGGAGGGAAGTCGTCGACTTCCATCTTTTCGACTGGGTGGCTGCTGGGGGCTTTTGGGGGGGCTTGCTTATGCGCCTCGGCGACGGCTGAGAGCAGGAGCGAAATCTTATGATCTCGCTCGGCGAGTTTTTGGGCAAGCAGTTGATTTTGCTTTTTTAAGGAGGTGACACTCTCCTGAAGCTTAGAATTTTCCAAGCGAAGCGACTGAAGGTCGGCGGCCTTGGTGTTGGCTTTAAAAGAAAGCAGGGTGCGCGGTTTTTGAGCAGGGCGTCTTGCAGGCTTACCCTGATCAGTTTGTGATTCGTTCGAGTCGTCGCTTTCGGACCCTGAAGGGCTCCGCTCGCGAGAGCTTATTTTTTGGTTGGAAGTTGCGCTGGAGAAAGGAGCTTCTGGTATTTCAAGAGCTGGCAATGTCGATCACAAAATACATTCAGGAACACTATCCTGAACGGTAGTGCACTGAGGGGCACTTCCGGAGCCCAAAAAGGGGACCTGCACTTGCCTCTGAGGGAGACACGAGCTCGAATTTCTTTCTTGGGAGTCTGGGGGAGGGCAAAACACACACTTAGTGAGACTTCAACCTCGAGGTTGGACCGCGAGTGTGAAACACTTTGTAGCAAATAATAAAACAGTCA